TTCAACAAACTCAATTTCAATAAATATTTATAAATTCTTGTTTGTGCAGCTGAAGGAATTCCAGAACTTTGTCAATGTCCCGGGGACACTGCAGTGTAGATAATCCATCCACATTAGGAAATCCACAGGATGAAAATCCACAGCCCCTCGGTTCACACAATGGACAGAATTCAATCCCAGTCTCACATCTTACATTTTACAGCCAATTCCTTTCCAGAGTTTGCCCAAGGCAGTATTCTCCATTCAGTTCATCAGCAGATGGTTCTTTTCCCACAGCACAGGGAAGGTAACCTAAAATGTCAGGAAAAAAATAAATCACCAGCCACCCAATAGATGGAGATTTTATGATGCAAATGACCAGTATCAGCTGTAATGAAAACCTCTATGCAATAGTAAGTTGAGAAGATTAATTTCCAGCCTCCCGAGTTTCTGTTTGCAACAGTGCAGTGTTTGCTCTGGCAGTGTCAGCAGGTGAAAACATTTGGCTCAGTCGTTCCTGAAACATCAGAGGTGGTTTTCAGCGTGGCAACAAAAAGATGACAACTGGTTTCTACTCCCAGTGATGACTCTGGTGATGGTTCTGAGTGTTGGTAATGATCCTGGAAGCTCAGTCCTGAGCACAGGCTGATCCATCCTCCACAAATCCAAACTGCACGCTTGAATTTCACCCTCTTCTTCCCACGTCAGCTAAACTTGATAACCAGAGCAGACTGTCCTGCAGAATGAAGCCATTCTGCTAGGTTCAGTCTCTCCATGGAAGATTTCTGAGAGCTTTACACAGACCTTGCACTTACCCTGTCCACAGGCGCAGTTACCAGGCAAAAGCTCTAATGACCCGAGTCTGAGCCAGGTCCAGCTCAAGCAGCAGAATCAGGAAACAGGTTCCACACTTGCCTGCAGGCAACTGATTAACAAGGTCTCAAAGAGTAAAACTGGTGGTCTGGAGTTAAGGCAAACAGCTACAGGAAGTTCCCCAGTCCACACAAGTAAAAATAGAGCAAGGTCACAACATGCTGTGTTTCTGAACTCTGAGATCCGAGTGAAGATTGTTAGTGATCTATCCCAAAGGAATATGCTGGGCTCAAAAAACACCAGCCTTTCCCATCCTATGGGGGCATCTGAGGTCTCTTCCCTCTTTTTGGTCTTTCACAGATCTTGCAGAACCTAAATTATCTGGGAGGCACTGGCTCCTCTTGGCTCTGACTGATGGCTTCAAGCTGGAGAAAAGGAGAGGAGGGAGGCACAGTCAGGGAACAGCTCCCTGCTGCCATGGGATGGTCCCAGTGTCACAGCTCCCTGCTGCCATGGGATGGTCCCAGTGTCACAGCTCCCTGCTGCCATGGGAACCATCCCAGTGTCACAGCTCCCTGCTGCCATGGGAACCATCCCAGTGTCACAGCTCCCTGCTGCCATGGGAACCATCCCAGTGTCACAGCTCCCTGCTGCCATGGGAACCATCCCAGTGTCACAGCTCCCTGCTGCCATGGCATGGTCCCAGTGCCACAGCCTGGGCCTGCCCTCCCTTTCCAGCAGGAAAGCTGTCAAAGCAGGCAGCAGAAAGGACAGAACAGTCAGAACCAGAGGCAGAGGGAAGGCAGGAACAGGACACAACAGCACTGAGGTGCAACACGGGCTCAGGCTCAGCAACAGCTTCCCAGTACAGCACGGCACGGGCTCTGTCTCCTTCACCTGCACCTCCCACAAACCACTGGGAGTACTGGAAAGCTGCTCATCATCTCTGAATCGGAGCAGCAGTTCCAAGAGGGAGTTTGCTTTGTTCAGGAGAGAATTATACAGACAACTCCACAGCGAGCAGCCCACGGCTCATTAAGGAGTTTGAGGAGCACAGAGGTCACTGCTGGCAGAGGAACAGCAGCAGCCACCACAGTTCAACAGCACAGGCAGAACCAGCATCAACCAGCAGAAGAGCTGATGAGGCCAAGAAACAGCTTGTGCATAACAGGCCCAAACATTGCTCTCGTCCAGGGCAAAAATAAAAGCATTTCTGGATATCAGCAAACCGACAATTTTATTGTCGCCGTGTCATTTGGAAAAAATTCTGCATGAAATACAAACCCCAAAGCAAGTAAGACAAAAAAAGGCCATGTGAAACTACCATTTCCCCTCTAAATAACCACAAACAGAAAACTCTACAGCTTCTGACAGTTATACATAGAACACCCCAGCACGAGCTTAGACATCAGAAGTGACAAATGGCAGGGGCTTCCCCATGAAAACTGACTGTGCTGGCAGAAGCAGGTGGAGGAAAAAAATAGTATGCAATAGTTTATGACTTCTGCATCCTCCATGGGAAAGAGACGTGGACAAAATTAAATTTGCATTTGAGTTACAACTCTTACAAGAGTGGCTGAACTGAGGAGCAGCAGCTACAGCACAGGCACGAACCAGTAAAGAATTGAAAGTCTTGCAACAGCTCGTGCAGCAGTGAGAACAAAAAGAAATTTTAAAATATTACTACGAGCTTTTTTAATAAAATACCTGAATTCGACAGCCTTATTCAGAAAAGTAAACTCTGATCCAATTTTCCGGGTTTGACTGACAATATCAGGTGTGTAATTTGATTAAATCTCATGATGCTGAGCAGTTGATTTTAACAGACAATAACTGTAAAATTCTCATCGAGGTTATCCCTCTGCTGCTGCCTCAGCTGTAGAGAATTTACATGAAAAGTTCAGTGCAGACCCACAAGAGGTGGTAAATGTCCTTCCCCAAACTCCTCACACAGCTGTATGAAAGTGCAGCAAGCCACCCATCTAAAAACTAGATACCAAGGTCAGACTCTAATCCATCTGCAGCAATACAACCACGCTTTCAATTTTTATTTATTAATAATTTATTAATAATTTATTTATTCTGCACCCCACCTCCCCAGGTCAGGACTGTATCTCACAAGGAGTCATCTGAATGCTGTTTCCCAAACCCCAGGATCAGTGTTTTCCACTGCCCTGTCCACCACTTCACCCCAAAAGGCTGCACAAACCCAGGTCACACAGTAATGGCACACTGACTGTACCTTCTCACTGCAGCGTGACTTAAAAAGAAATAAACTGCACAAGCAGCCTCATTTTAAGTCTTCTACATTAATTTGCATATTTTACAAAATATTTGTTACCAGATGCTGCCCCCTTCATGCTCTTCTTTGTGGAAAAGACAAGCTAGAAACAAAAAGATAAAAGCAAGGGAGAAATCCAGAGTAAGGAGGAGTGGAAGATGCTCTTTTCTACAGGACACAAAAACCAGGCATCCAGTTAAGGATCCCAGATTCTTAATTGCTCTTAAGACACTATTAGGTGAGCAAACAGCTGTTCCAGAGCCCAGGACACGAAACAAAGAACAAGAGGTACGAGAATGGTATTTATAAAATGGATACTGAGAAAGGTATTGCATCATAATGTGCTTACCAAATAAAGTCCAGTGGGTGTGCTCCTTCAGCTCTCCTGCTCCTTGGTTTAAGCCTTTTATAATCACTGATGGGAGTTTTATAAAAGCTGAAATAAAAATTAATTATTGAAAAGTACCTGAAATGCTAAGTGATTTTCTACCCTGAGGGTTTTTAGCCATTAAATGAAATATACAATTGATTCTGCAGATAAAATATTCCTGTGGCAAACCATCTTTAGTCTCACTTGACCCAGAACATTGACATTTATCACTCCACTTATAAACAGCTACAAGATGAAAGTAATAAAGAAGTTAATTGGATCTGAAGTGATTGACTTCCCATTGCAGTCAGGATTCTCCCTGTTCCCAACTGATTTTAGTACCTACATTTTGCTCCAGAAAGCCTCCTCTAGTCTGTGCCAGGTGCAAATACACAGAATTTAGGAAAGAAGAAAAAAATCTGTTTCTAGTAGTTTAGCTACCAAAACCTGTGCACCTGAAACACCTTATGCTACAGGAGAAAGAAAAGTATGAGAAATAAACTCTGCATCTTTCTAAAACAGATTTTGTTTTTATTCCAATATCCCCACACCTCCACATCTGAACACTGAACCCTTCCCCTCTGCCACCCACCTGGCAGGACACCAGGGTGGAGCAATTCAGAGCCCCAGCCATGCCCAGCACACACAACAGGCTGGGAGAAGGGAAAGCCTTTCTCCTGAATGGAAAAAAAGTTAAACGGCTTCTTGATTCAAAATATTCATAAATAATGTAGTAAAAAAAAAATTGATTGTTCCCCTTTTGAAGAATTTCCACAGGAGAGGAATAAATCCAATAAAAGAATGTAAAAGCTGTCCTTTTGGAGTAAAAATCAGTTTTAGAAAACAAGAGTGTCCTGCAGGTTGCAATTACTGTCTCTGTGCCTATGAAGTCAGAGAGCCTCAGGGTTGCTTTCCATGGGAGGGGGCTCTGCAGGGCCCCTTCTGAAAAACAAACAAACCCATTACTCTGGGGTTATAAACATCCCCTGCAATTCAAATGGAGCGAGGGGAAGCAAAGGTTCCTCGTAAAGCTTATCAGAGTAAGTCCCAGACTGTCCAGCTGCTCTCAGAGTACGAACTCACGGCAGGAGAGAAAACCCATCCCCTGGATTCACGAGGTGCTTTCATCTGCATAGTCCAACCAGTGAAAACAGGAACAAAACTGCATTCACTGGAAGATCCAAACACCACAGTGTGTCTGAAATACACAGCACTGCCAAACAAACATCCCCTCGGAGAGCTGTCCCACCAGTGGGGCAAGAACACCACATCTTCATTTTCTGTCCAGATTTTATTTGAAATCTAATTCATATCGTCAAAGCTACAAAAAGGGGGAACATCGGAGTTATTTCTGCTATGTCACAACATTCTAAAACAAAATCTCACTACTGCCAGCAGATCAGTTACACACATTTCTGGTGAAACTCCTAAACACAAAAATGTTTCTTTCGGGAAATAGTCACAATGAAGATATTTGTACAATATAAAACAATGACAGGTCTACAGATGCCGATACTCATGAGTATACACGTGCATTCACAAAAAAAAAAAAATAAATCAGGAATGCTTTTTTGTTTTTTAACAGACTGTTCAGGCACAAAAACAAAACCGCATTTCCAGTAAGTGACAGCATCATAAAAAATATTAACATTGTCAGNNNTTCAACAAACTCAATTTCAATAAATATTTATAAATTCTTGTTTGTGCAGCTGAAGGAATTCCAGAACTTTGTCAATGTCCCGGGGACACTGCAGTGTAGATAATCCATCCACATTAGGAAATCCACAGGATGAAAATCCACAGCCCCTCGGTTCACACAATGGACAGAATTCAATCCCAGTCTCACATCCTACATTTTACAGCCAATTCCTTTCCAGAGTTTGCCCAAGGCAATATTCTCCATTCAGTTCATCAGCAGATGGTTCTTTTCCCACAGCACAGGGAAGGTAACCTAAAATGCCAGGAAAAAAATAAATCACCAGCCACCCAATAGATGGAGATTTTATGATGCAAATGACCAGTATCAGCTGTAATGAAAACCTCTATGCAATAGTAAGTTGAGAAGATTAATTTCCAGCCTCCCGAGTTTCTGTTTGCAACAGTGCAGTGTTTGCTCTGGCAGTGTCAGCAGGTGAAAACATTTGGCTCAGTCGTTCCTGAAACATCAGAGGTGGTTTTCAGCGTGGCTACAAAAAGATGACAACTGGTTTCTACTCCCAGTGATGACTCTGGTGATGGTTCTGAGCATTGGTAATGATCCTGGAAGCTCAGTCCTGAGCACAGGCCGATCCATCCTCCACAAATCCAAACTGCACGCTTGAATTTCACCCTCTTCTTCCCACGTCAGCTAAACTTGATAACCAGAGCAGACTGTCATGCAGAATGAAGCCATTCTGCTAGGTTCAGTCTCTCCATGGAAGATTTCTGAGAGCTTTACACAGACCTTGCACTTACCCTGTCCACAGGCACAGTTACCAGGCAAAAGCTCTAATGACCCGAGTCTGAGCCAGGTCCAGCTCAAGCAGCAGAATCAGGAAACAGGTTCCACACTTGCCTGCAGGCAACTGATTAACAAGGTCTCGAAGAGTAAAACTGGTGGTCTGGAGTTAAGGCAAACAGCTACAGGAAGTTCCCCAGTCCACACGAGTAAAAATAGAGCAAGGTCACAACATGCTGTGTTTCTGAACTCTGAGCTCCGAGTGAAGATTGTTAGTGATCTATCCCAAAGGAATATGCTGGGCTCAAAAACACCAGCCTTTCCCATCCTATGGGGGCATCTGAGGTCTCTTCCCTCTTTTTGGTCTTTCACAGATCTTGCAGAACCTAAATTATCTGGGAGGCACTGGCTCCTCTTGGCTCTGACTGCTGGCTTCAAGCTGGAGAAAAGGAGAGGAGGGAGGCACAGCCAGGGAACAGCTCCCTGCTGCCATGGGAACCATCCCAGTGTCACAGCTCCCTGCTGCCATGGGAACCATCCCAGTGTCACAGCTCCCTGCTGCCATGGGAACCATCCCAGTGTCACAGCTCCCTGCTGCCATGGGAACCATCCCAGTGTCACAGCTCCCTGCTGCCATGGGAACCATCCCAGTGTCACAGCTCCCTGCTGCCATGGGAACCATCCCAGTGTCACA